CGAATAAATTAATGGGTATATTATATTAATAAATAAAAAACAGATAAATATATTTAAAATAGCTAAATTGATATAATAAATAGATATATAAATATATAAAAATGAATATCGATATTATTGTTATTATAACCATATAGATCCATCGATCTGTGGATTAACAAGCAAATTGAAGAAGTTGGTGTAGAATGTACTGTTTCACTGAGTTATCACAGTGGTTGACGGTTCATTTACGAAAAAAATAAAAGCGAAAAGATAGTGATGTCCCAATATTACAACCACAACACAAATAAATCAGTAAGAGAAGGGGAAAGAACAGGGGCTGCCTGGATGACGAAAGGAAGGTATAGAGGTAGACAGAAGGGGCCGCACTGCTCTCAGCTTTAATTACCTTTCGGTGTTGTTAGTGGCTAAAGGGTGAGGGATAAAACAAATGAATATTCACTACTTTTCTATATATATACGCTAATGTTTATCTTATAGTGGAAAGGGGTCGTGTGAAGTGAGGAAAAAACAAGTTGATTCGGGGTTCATCTGTACCCCTGGGCCACGTTGCCTCTCAGGGATAGCTCATCCCGCCCGCCATGCACGCTGCGAGAGCTTCAGTGGGCCTTGTTGCTGTCCTTGCCAGGCTTCACATGGGGCTCTTCTTGTGTCGTTTTCGATATCACGTTGCCATCGATGTCGATATCGTCAGACACACGGACGTTTGGCAGCAACAGGGTCAGCGGGATGATCAGGAGCGGCAGGAGGATGTGACAGACAATGACGAGTTTCACGGCGTTCTTGAAGTTGCACGGCGGATTACTTTTGATGGGCCACACATACTCCATCAAGATGGCACCTATCGAGGTGCCGGTGGTGTGGCCGAGGTTGCAGAAGCTGGCTAGGAGTGCATACACCGTGCTCTCGGAGCCGCGCGGGCACAAGCGCGACAGCAGTATTGCCGTTGCCATCCATGAGATCATTTTGATCAGTGGTATAATGATAGTGCTGGTACCAATGTAAAAGAGGTGATCGGGAATGCCGATCTTTACATTCCAACGCTTGAGCATGATGACCTCGGGCAACAATAAAGGTACGAGTACGACCGTGGTAATGATCATGATTTTGCGGTAGTTGCACTTTGAGAAAAAGTAGTTGAACACCAAAATACCGGTCAAACCCGACACAGTAGCGGTGATTGTCCATACAGTGTACATGAAAGTCAAAGAGAAGTGCGGCCCACCAGGAACACAATCGGGTCCAGCGATGTAGAACTTGTCGATACCAGGTAGACTTATGCAGACTGACGTACATAAGTACTTGAATACATTAATCTTTGCCACTACAAGTGGCAGTGACCAGAAAGACAACACAAAGCACACCAGCGACACCACTACGCAAATAATAAGCAACCCTAGCGTATTTGCAAAGA